GGGGGGAGGGAATAAACAGCAAAAGAGTGATTAGAACTTTGATTTTGGAAAGTTACAAACAGATTAAGGGTCCAGGTGGATTTGAAATAAGATTTTGGAATTAATTATAAGAATCCTTCCTGTGGGAAGGTTGGACACTAGAGGGAACCAGAAAGAACTAAGGATTACAATAAAGGAAACAAACCCTTAAATTTGACTTACTAATACTGAATGAAGCAAAATGTTTTAACACTGGATATATTGAAGGATATTTTTGAACAATGGATCCAGAAGTTAACTTTAAGAGTGTCTGCCATTATACATAGACTGTGTTTAAAAAATGTTATGGAAGAGGAACAAGTTTTACCTGACAAGATTGAGACTGATCTGAAAGTGGATTTAAAAATGACAGGCTACAAGAATGATGGAAAAAGTTGCTACACTGGACATACAAAAGAAACTGGCTGATGTCTTAATAATTAAGAGGGATACACAAATAACAAACCAAAAGAGTGACCTGGATGATTTTCCTATATTGGATTTACAAAAAAGACTTGTTAAAGCTTTGAAGAATTTTATGAGAAGGAACAATTAAAAAATTGAAAAGAAATCAAGTTCTAGGACATTATTTGAAGGGATTAAATATCAAGATTGTTAAAAGGAAGGAATATAAAATTGGTTTATTCAATCAAGGTTAAAATAGATATGTTGTTATCTCTGGTAACCCTTAATGGACTTTTGCTGATCAGGACTGAACAATGAGGCTTTAAGGATTTGTTTATAGATAAGAAAAAGGAAATGGGAAGAAGAGATCATTTGTTGTGTTTTAAAGGAAGATAAGTTATTAAAATTGTTTATACTTGTGATGAAGGGGAAAGTCATTTCTTTATATACTGTATTTCTCTTTTTTCTTTATTTTTCTTATTTTTTCTTTTTTTTCTATTTTTTTCTTTTCTGCACTTTCTATTTTTTCTTTTTCTTTTCTCTTAGTTTGTATTAGTTTTTATCTTTTTAACTGTAATTAAAAAAAAGATCACAGGAAGTAATAGTACCGTTCTATGCTGTACTGGTCAAAGCACACCTGGAATTACTGGTCCAGTTCTGGTCACCACAGTACAAAAAGGATGCTGGAAAGAGTGCAAAGAGCAACAAAGATGGTGAAGGACTTGGAGGCTAAGTCCTACAAGGAGTAATTGAAGGAATTTGATATGTTTAGCCTAAAGAAGAAAAAAAATAGGGGAGATACAATTGCAGTCTTCCAATAAATGAAGGGATGTCATAGGGCAGAAGGTATGGATTTATTTTCTACAACCCCCAAGATAAGAGAAGAACCAGTGGATGGAAGCTCTATAGAGAGAGATCCATACTTGAAATAAGGAGGAATTTCCTAACCATGTGTCAGGCCTAACCCAAGGAACTCCAAGAGGCAATGCCAATTCAGTCCAGCTATGTTTATTAGCTACAACCTTTAGCAAGAATCTTCCCAGACTAAACCCCCAGTCCCCAAAGCCCCCCAGCCACAACAGTGTGAATTCCTCAGGGAGATGCCAGTCTCATCCTCTTGTTCCTCCCATGCGGTTCTGGCGAGCTAAGAAAATGTTTGTCTCCCTGAGCTTGGCCTTCACAATTCCATTCCATCACACCATGAGAGTGATGAAGCAGCGGAACAGCCTGCTTCCTGATGTTGTGGGTGCTCCATCACTGGAGGTTTTCAAGCAAAGGTTGGACAGCCATTGGTCTGGGATGGTGTGAGGATACTTACCCTGGATAAGGGTTGGACTAGAAGACCACCAAGGTCCCTTTCAGCCCTATGATTCTAAATCCATGCTGGCTGGGGAATTCTGGGAGTTGAAGTCTACGTATCTCAAAGTTGCCAAGGTTGAGAAACTCTGTTTGAAGGCTTTGTGGCAATATCAGACAGTGTTAAAAATGGCCTGAAATGATGGAAACATACCGTTGATAGGATTTGTCAAAAGTGAGAGAGAGGTTTTATTTTTCTTCTCAAAGTCCATTCCTGGGTTGAACACATGCATGTAAAAATTAATTATTATGCATCACTTCTCAGCTGGAAGCCATCTTGGACTTGTTTGTTGTTGGCTTGACAAACCTAAGCAGACACTGTGTGAAATGAGATTAGCAGAAACATGTCATACTATCAAATCAGAGAAAAATACTTAGAGACTATTCTGCAAGTATCTTTGCTTTTCAAAAAGCTGCAACAGTAATGGACAAATTGCTATTCCAAGGGAAGGAATAAAACTCGACATGTGCAGGTCAAATTTATCAAATGTTTGGCCCAGTCCCTCTCTCTCAGCCCAACTTACCTCACAGGGTTGTTGTTGTGGGGAAAATAGGAG